GAGGTTGCCCCAGGGTCTTGAAGGAAAAACTGACTCTAGGGCATCCCTTCCCCACCCAAAATGCCTCCCTATTGCCATCTCCTTGACAAATCAGATGGAGGTGGCACATTTTTTTCCCTGATAATCCTTTGTGACCTTTCTGTAAGATCCTTAATTTCCTTCTTGAAGTTACAACCAGAGGTTGGAAGTTTTTGCATTGGGATCAAATATTCCATTATCATTATCCCCTAGGAGAGACAGCTTTACAATCCCATGTGCGTGAGGGGATTGGTAGATAAAAGTCTGACCTTCCTTCCACAAACTAAAAGCTAAAAGACTTTATTCATTTTTTTCCTTCCCAAATTGAAGCAATTCATTTCTAGACGTCCTTGGCAGGAGCTCAGAACTATTTATGCAGGCTCCACGCTGGCAAAATAGATATTTTTTGATATCCTACTTTTGGTTGAGTTATGGTAATGTTGGCAATAGTGGTGAGGGCAGGAGATCAAGTCATTTTTCAAAGTTCTAAGTCAATGATGATCTAGTAAGATCAATATAAGAGAATTGAAGACTAATATAAAGGTTATCACAAGGCCAACATCTATAAGTTAGACCTTTTTTTTACCCTAACAGCAGTGGTTCTCAAATTTTAACCCACGTAATAATCACCTGGAAGTCTTGTCAAATGCAGACTTCTGGCTGGGCACAGTGGTTCACACCTGTAATCCCAGCACTTTGGGAGGCCGAGGTGGGTGGATCACGTGAGGTCAGGAGTTTGAACAGCCTGGCCAATATGGTGAAACTTTGTCTCTACTAAAAATGCAAAAGTCAGCTGGGCCCTCATGGTGTGCACCTGTAATCCCAGCTACTCAGGAAGCTGAGGTGGGAGAATTGCTTGAACCTGGGAAGTGGAGGTTGCAGTGAGCCAAGATCGTGCCACTGCACTCTAGCCTGAGTGACAGAGTGAGACCCTGTCTCAAAAAAAGAAAAAGAAAAAATTTTAGTTCCAGGGGTTGGAGAGTGTCTGTAATGAGTCCAAGCAATGAAAACTTCAGTGAATTAGACTTCATTAGAATTACTTCGACTTTGTTTTGATAAAGTCTATAGACATTTTTGTTTAATGCTGCATACATATGCATTATCTCCATCTAGGCATCAAATATTCTTTGGGGTACTGATCTAATGAGAATACTGGTAGATATAAATGCTCTTCCATTTGCATTTTAATTATTTGAAAACTAATGTTCCCAAATTCGCTCCCTGGTGCTCTAATCATTTCCTCTATTATTCAATGCTTATCAAAGCATGTCATTAATAAAATAGATCAACACAAAATGTTTGATGATATGAAGAAAGTAGAGTCCCAAAGAATGTGTCTCACAACCTTAGAGAAAATAAATGAAATAGAAACCCAGAACTGCTTCACTAAACTATGAGTGATGATTTATTGAACGCCCCAAGAGGAAGTAAAAAGCTACATTTGCATCGTTTCTGTATTTGATCAGCCATTGTTTACCTGGCTTGTTCTTAGGCTCCCTAGATTCTGTACTGGCTTCCCTTTAGGCTTTTTCATAAACAAATAACTGGAAATGTCTCTAAGGAGGGGAGAGACCAGTTCCTCGTTGCAGCTGGTAGCAAGCTTGCTTTCACTTAGCCGGGAGGGCGCATTGTTAACAGGTGTGGAACTGGTTGCTCTGAGCCCTCCTCCGGTAGCTCACTCTGGTTCTTCAGGCTCTGAGGAGCCTCAGGACCCATCTGGGTGCAGTTGGGACAGACCGTCTCACAGGTATTAAAGGTAACATTCAGCTGCTTTCTGGGTTTCTCTCTTGCACTTTCCTTTTGTCCTGTTGCTATCAGGTTAGCTTGTTTTGCTGATCTCCCCAGGTCTCATTAGAATTAGTGAATCATTAACCTATAATGGTTTCATTTCTAGTACAGTGAGATGGCTTCCCCAACAGTGTGGGTGGCTGTTTGCTGCATTCTCAAGGCTTGGAAGGTCAAAGGCTGGTGAATTTTCTTTATGATGATCATGTATTAATTACCTCTTTTAAACATAAAGGAGAAGAGTTAGCATGAATGGATGGACTGTTAACTTTTGATTCTACCAGACCCACTGGGTGTAGTCATTGAGGGAAAGCTTCCCAGGAGCCTTGGCCATTATCTCATTTAATTTCTACAACAGGCCTGTGAGGGAGGTTCTTTGATGACCTCTTGGTAAATGCTGCACAGAGGTTGGCAGAGGAGAAGTGGCTTGTCCTAGGTCACACAGCCAGTTGGCAGTGATACTGGAAGAGAAACCAGATCCATTTACTCTGCTGCTTGAGCTCTTCCTGCCTCTCTGCAAACCACCTCCCAAAGCCCTGCTGTTTTTAAAGTTTCAGCATTTCTGCAGTGCATCATGTCAGCAGTTACTATTGCCTTGGTTCCAATATTTAAGACAGTGGCTAATAAATAATACTTACCGATGTGAATCCTATTGGCCATAAATAGCTTTCTACCAGCAGCTACACCCCTGTGTCCGAACGACTACAAAGGAAACCCAAAGCTGTATCCTAACTCCTCAAAAGAGGAGAGGAAAAGGCCAAAAGGACAGAGGGGAAACCCAAAGACTAAGAAATCTGATCTAACTATTATGCAAGTGCCTATGCAAATATACTGAATTCCTTTAACATTGTTGCTGCCTAGAATTTGGACAGTCTTCTAAAGGAGAAAAATAATAGAACGGCCCTGATTGTATGTATGTGTGAAAGTACCTATTGATTCGAAATTAGCTGGGTATGGTGGTAAGCATCTATAGTGCCAGCTACTCAGGAGCACTGCAGCGTGAGGATTCTGTGAGGCTAGGAGTTTGAGGTTACAGTGCACTGTGATCACGCCACTGCACTCAGCCTGAGCGACACAGCCAGACTCCATCTCTAAAAAGAAAACAAAAAAGAAACAAAGTACCTATAGATTTGATGAGGAACTGGCCTCTCCATGTAGCAATAATGTACCTTATTTTATCAATGGTCAGGAGGGACCATTTCATGCCTCTTCAGCAATGTTAGTATCAACCTTCAGAGCAGCATCCAGGAATTACCAATCTAAAACCAAAACTAATACAATCTCACCTTAACTGAACGTAAGTTTCCTAAACTGGCATTGCCTTCTTTCCTCCACTCTGCAAAAAAGGGTACCTCATGCATTTTGAGCGCTCAGCTCAAAATAAAGCAAACCCAACATTAAGAATTTTAGATTTCTTTTGTGAATAAGAGTTGAATTGACTTTAGTTTGCATCTAAGTAGTTCCTCAAACAACTCACCAGTCTAAAATCCAGTACCTGTGGGTTCCATTTGGCCTTTAAAAAAATTTTTATAGAGATGGGGTCTCACGATGTTGCCCAGGCTGGTCCTAAACTTCTAGGGTCAAGTGATCCTCCCACCTTCACCTCCCAAAGTGCTTGGATTACAGGCATGAGCCTCTGTGCCTGGACTTATTTGACCTTAAACAAGATAAGAGTCAGGGAGCAAAATAAGAGATCACAAAATCCCCAAAATCAATGTCAAGTCACAACATTGTTATGACAATGTTAAAACACTGAGCTCCTCCTCTACTGATAGGAATAGATCTAACAGCCTATTAATTATCTGTTCACAAGGTTGTTGAACTTCTATGCCTGACACAGATTAAAAGAAACAAAGAGGAGAGAGTGGTTGCCATAGGCAAGTACACAAAACATAGTTTGAAGTAAGGAATAAAAATTAGGGAGTACCTCAGTGTGGGGTCATTTGGTGTGGGAGTGAATATTCAGAGGCTGTAAAAACCTGCAACAATTATTGTATTCTCCACAGAACTAGAGTAAACATAGTAGTAATCACTGTATTTTGGCAAAGTACTGGAATGATAGTTAACAGAATGAGGCCAGGTAATGAGGAAAAGGTTTATTGGTTTTCAGCCTTCTCTATATCAAGTTAAAGAAACAGATAATATACTCTAGAAAAGTTCTACTAAAAAGTATTGTCCTTGCAATTAAAAATTATAAGAAGTAAATTATTAGCCATTCTTACATTTTGGCAATCCAAATGTGGCCGAAGGGTTTCAGATTGCTGAGTTCTGCTTTAGAATGATAAACTTACTAAAACTATTATTGATGATCTTAGAATATACGGTCAACTACTAATGTTCCATCCACAAACAATCCACACACAGTCTGAAGCCACCTTCCACGCCATCTGGGGCCAGGGAAGGTGGGTCTCTTGCCCGTCCCACAGTCCCACGCCTGGTCTGTAAATCATCAAGCATCAACTCTCATGCCATAGGGGATGTGTAAGGATTGATGTTCTCCCACACATGCCTTCTTCATGTGGGAAAGTACAGAATAACGAAACTGCAGTAAGCCACTCCCATGAATCAAGTTGTGAAATAGAAGGGTCAGCTTTTCTTGAGCATAAGAAGAGATAATTCGGCATGCGTGGATCGCAAAAAACACCTCCAGTCACGAACAGTAGGGTACCTGGTGACATCTGGGTTTTTCTTTTCAAACTTGCAAGTCATTTTTTCAAAATGTAAAGACTGATAGAATCTAAGATAAAAGACATTGCCAGATACTTTATATCAGTTACCTTCAAAGCCTGTCTCATTCTGTAATTTAAACCTTGAGGGAAGGAACCTTGTTTTCCTTGTTCTTGCATCCTCGGAATGTACCAAAGTATGTACTTTCACACATAAATGTAGATGATAGGAGGGTTTAATGTATATTTGATTCCCTTAAACTGGAATAATCACAAGGAGAGGAGCTATGTGGTTTCTGGGAAGTATCTTAAGTGATCAAAGTTTTTAAAGGCTTTTTTGTTTGAACCTAGAAGGAATTTTAAGTAGACACTAAACAGATTTCAATACGCTGTTTAGATGAGAATGCTGGAGTCTTATATATTAATTATCTTCTGAATGTAAAGGATGCTGATGCGAACTGAGCTCTATCTCCTATGAAGAATTAAAAGTTTTCCTTTGAAATTTTAGACCTTTTTTTCTCACTGCAGTCTCCCTCAATTGCTACAGATTCCACAGTCTGCTCTTCCTCACTAAAGATGCAGCAACCTGCTTGACATTCTCCTCTGGAAAAGGAAAAGAACTACTAGAGGAAGTATGGCACTTGGATGCAGAAATTGAGCACCTTCCATGTGATCCAGAGAACAGTAACTCAGATGTGTTCTGGAACCTTCTACCCATGGTAGAACCTCTTAGCTTTATGGAGAAAACAGAGTCATTCTGTCTAGAGGTGCCACCCCAAGACTGCGGAGCCTCTCCTCAGCCTCCGCTGAGGAGCCTGCCAAAGCAGCACTGTGAGAACCAGGGGAGCCTCCTCCAGTTTGACCGGCAAGCCCCAGGCCGCATCTCCACCTCGCCCACTTTGAGGAGATTAAGGACCCGTGGCTGTGGGACTTGGCACTCACTGTCTCAGCAGGATGCCTTGCAGGTGCCCACCTGGGGAAGCTGGAGAGAGCCTGCGGGCTCCCCACCTTACCTTTCCAAGAGCCTGCCGGGAAGCCCAAAGGATTCTTCATACTTGCTGTCACCCTTGAGACTCCACTCAAGATTGACCTCTGAACCTGAAAGGGCCCTGAATGCAGCTGACTCACGGGAGCCCCAAACCCGGCCCACTGACAAGTATCTCCCTCCTGAGCTTCAGCCTGTCAGTGAAGAGTCCCTTCACCAGGCCTCTCTTCTGCTGCAAGAAGGCCCCTTCCTGTCCAGCCCCACCCCACAACGCCCTAGTCCTCAGGTAACACAGTTCTAAGCCTCCGGCCTCTCAGTTGGCGAAACACAAAGCAAAATAGATCTCAGAGTTGCTTCGCTCCCCCAAGGGCCAGTAGATCCTAAAAAGGACACAGCACAGGAAGTCACACTGAGGGGACACATTCTCTTAGGAAGCATTGGCTCTTAAGTGAAAGGAGGGCAGCAATTTGGGGAAGAAAGAAAATGATCTCGCTCACTTCCTTCTGTCCTTGGAGGCACTTTAAGAAAGGATGCACCAAGGCCAGGCTTACCGATGGTCTGTCAGGTACCCGAGAGCAATGGGGGCCCTCTTGCAAATGCACACTACTTAAAGACAATGTGGTGTCACTGATTTAAAAGGGGAGAAAGAGGCCGGGCGCGGTGGCTCAAGCCTGTAATCCCAGCACTTTGGGAGGCCGAGACGGGCGGATCACTAGGTCAGGAGATCGAGACCATCCTGGCGAACACGGTGAAACCCCGTCTCTACTAAAAAATACAAAAAACTAGCCGGGCGAGGCGGCGGGCGCCTGTAGTCCCAGCTACTCGGGAGGCTGAGGCAGGAGAATGGCGTAAACCCGGGGGGCGGAGCTTGCAGTGAGCTGAGATCCGGCCACTGCACTCCAGCCCGGGCGACAGAGCCAGACTCTGTCTCAAAAAAAAAAAAAAAAAAAAAAAGGGGGGGAGAAAGAGCTAGTTATTCAAATTTGCAATCCCACCAAAATGTAAAATATGTTTTAACTAGGAGGGCTCATTGTTTCTCCTTTCAACATGTTTGCTTTGGAGTTCGGAATGGGTTTGAATAAGACTAAAACATATTCTTAAAATTTATTTCAGGGAGAAGAATTGCACCCATCCAGGTGAGTATGCATTTATTTTCTCCGGTGCTATGACATCTGTTGACTATTTACTATTAGATTTTTATTTCTGCCCTGACGTAACAAAGCTGACGGTATATTAACCAATACACTTTGTTTTACAGCACTCAAGTCACTCTTCACATTTATAGTGTAAGAGTTTTCATTTCAAGAGTCTCCCTTTAAGAGCACAGCATTTGGGGGCAGGATACAATACCATACGCAGTCATAGTTTTCATTTTGAATTGTCAATGTCTTGGCCCTGTGGCTTAATTAACATCCACTTAGTAATACGTTTTGTCTGGTAGAGAAAATAGAAAGGCCAGAGATACTCAACAGCTTTTCACAGAAAAATTTAGAGGACAAAAAATTAAAGGAACAAGATGTCTTGATTACATCTAGGGTGACCTTTAAAATAACCTGTTATGACAGACTGTGCCCTTATCCAGAATGAAGTAGTCTGTGTCATTTCCGAAACCAGCTCTGAACTTTCAGCATGGCCCCAGCAGATCCTAGGAATGGATCTGCCATCCCTGACAGGGATGAAGAGTTTCTGTAGCAGCAAGGGAAAGATCCATGCCCAATTTTATCTTCCTGACTTGCGGGATTGGCAGGAAAGCCCTCATTTCATTTGAAAAGTCACAGAGGATTTTTTTGGAGAAATAGCTGCCGTTTTATTACTGGGCCTCAATCTTCAAGCAATAGTTTAATGTTCATAGCAGTAAGGATAACATCCATGTAAACGTTCTTTGTTGATTTTAATCCACCTTGGCCTAAATGTATCAACAAAGGTAGAAGATACTTACCAAGCAGTAGGAAAATGCAAATTGTTATGTTTGTGTATCAGTTAGCTATTACTAGATAAAAAAAACCACTTAAAGTAACAGACAGTTATTGTTTCTTATAAATCTCTGTGTTCCCTGGGGGTGAGTTTCTCTAGGCTGGGTTTAGCTGAGCAGTTCCACTCCAAATGTTCCTTAACCTGCTCATGGGATCAAAGGGCTCCCATGGGTTCATGGGATCAATAGAGCATATTCTTTATACAGTGAAGGAAGAGGTTCAAGAGGACAAGTAGAAACAGGTAGGGCCTCTTGGAGCCTGCGCTCTGAATCTGATCTAATTTTATTGACCAAAGCAAGTCACTCAGTTGAACTCAGGGTCAGGGAATTACATGTTACCAACAGTGGGAGAGCATTGAAATGTTACCTGGCAACGTGTAGGGATGTCAGGATTAGGGAAGAGTGGGGATGTTAGTGTAAAGCTTCCATACATGTGAAACAGAATAAAGCTCTAAGATGAGATCTAGTTCATTTGTGTCAAAGAAAGTGAAAAATGGTAGTCTTAGAAAAAAAAAAGTGATGTTTAGAGTCGAATTATTTTAATAAGATGTAGATAAATTTTATTCCTTGTCCTGAGAGCAGTGTGAAACCGTTTAACGAATTGATACGATCAGATGGATGTCAGATATACCTGGGATTTAGATGCAAGTAGACTTGAGTCAAATAATTCAAATATTCAGGTATGAGAAGCTGGTAAGTTAGGCTATGATGGAAGCAGTGGGGTTAAAAAGAAGTATCTCAATGCAAGAGATATTTAGGAGATATAATCCCCCAGACTTTGTGCATGGTAGCCTAGCAGGGTGAAGGAAAGGAATCTTCAAGAATAACCTCCAAGCTTCCTGGCTTATATAACTGGGTAACTAAGGTGTCCATTCACTGACCTAGATAAACTTGGGTAAATAAATGAAATATGAGTGGTTGGAGTGTAGGTTTTGTGTTCAGGTTTGGACATGTGGAGTTTGAGGACCTAGGAAGCATCTAATTGGAGGTTTTCAGTAAATAATTGGTTAGAGAAGACATCAGGGGTGGATGTGCTATATGTGTGTTTGTGAGTCCTAAATCAAGGAATGCTTCCTAGAGCAGGTAAAGTCTGGGTCCAGCTCTGATTATTAGATGGAGCCAGCAGACATAAAGGCAAATCAATGGGATGCATCAAGCCATTTGGGGCAAAAAAAAAATAACGTGAAGGTAATTTCCATTGCCATATGGAATCTTTATGAGAAAATAACAAAAATAGTCTTGGTAAATTTTAAAACAATAGCTAGGACAGGCTGGGCACGATGGCTCATGCCTATAATCCCAGCACTGAGGGAGGGCCAGGCAGGTGCATCACTTGAGGTCAAGAGTTTGAGATCCGCCTGGCCGACATAGTGAAACCTCATGTCTACTGAAAATATGTTGTTTTAAAAAATAAGCTGGACGTGGTGGCGGGCACCTGGAACTCCCTTCTTAGCCAATTGACTTAAAGGTAGGAGGAGCCCAAAGTGTCCAGGTAGCAATGTTAACTGCCAGTTTAATGGAATCATTGTTGTATCTCCCGGTGGCAGTGTTGCTCCCTCTGGAACTAAGACCTTGGGCCAACAGAACCTAATGTTGCAGGAACGGGAGGCCAAAATTTGGCTAGTGGATCACTAGGGGTGATGGTGAGTGGTGTCACTTCCACTTCCACCCCTTGATGCCTGAACCTGTGAATCCTGGCTATGGGGGAAACAGTGCCATATATTGGATGCTGATTCAGAGCATACATGGCCTTCCAGAGAACTTTGCCCCAGCCCTGCAAAGTACTGTCACCTAGTTGGCATTGCAATTGTGACTTCAAAAGGCCAATCCACCATTCTGTCAATCCAGCTGCTTCAGGATAATGGGGAACATGATAAGACCAGTGAATTCCATGCACATGAGCCCCACTGCTGCACTGCTTTGGCCATAAAGTGAGTACCTTGGTCAGAGGCAATGCCGTGTGGAATACCATGATGGTGGATAAGGCATTCCGTGAGCCCACAGATGGTAGTTTTACCAGAAGCATTGCATGCAGGATAGGCAAACCCATATCTGGAGTAAGTATCTATTCCAGTGAGGACAAACCTCTGCCCTTTTCATGATAGAAGAAGTCCAATATAATCAACTTGCCACCAGGTAGCTGGCTGATCACCCCAAGGAATGGTGCCATATCAAGAGCTCAGTGTTGATCTATGCTGTTGGCCAATTGGGCACTCAGCCATGGCCATAGCCAGGTCAGCCTTGGTGAGTGGAAGTCCACGTCGCTGAGCCCATGTGTAACCTCCATCCCTGCCACCATGGCCACTTTGTTCATGGGCCCATTGGGCAATGGCAGGGGTGACTGAGGAAAGAGGCTGAGTGGTAGCCACAGAATGGGTCATCCTATCCACTTGATTATTAAAATCTTCCTCTGCTGAGGTCACCCATTGGTGAGCACCCACATGGGATACAAATATCTTCACAGGTTTTGGCCACTCAGAGAGGTCTATCCACATACCTCTTCCCCAAATTTCTTTGTCACCAATTTTCCAATCATGCTTCCTCCAAACCCCTGACCATCCAGCCAAACCATTGGCTACAGCCCATTAATCAGTATATAGTTACACGTATGGCCATTTCTCCTTCCATGCAAAGTATGCAACCAGGTGTACTGCTTGAAGTTCTACCCACTGGGAAGATTTCCCTTTACCACTGTCCTTCAGGGATGTCCTAGAAAAGGCTTGTAGTGCTGCAGCTGTGCACTTGCGGGTGGTGCCCACATATCGTGCAGAACCATCCGTGAACCAGGCCCTAGTGTTCTCTTCCTCTGTCAATTGGTCATAGGGAACTCCCCATGAGGCCATCAGTGCTGGCTTGGGGAGAGAAGGCAGGGTGACAGGAGTGGAGACCATGGGCATTTGAGCCACTTCCTCATGTAACTTACCTGTGCCTTCAGGACTTGCTTGAACCTGATCATGTATATACCACTTCCATTTATTTGATGAGGAATGCTGCTGTGCATGACCCACTTTATGGCTAGATGGGTCAGAAAGCACCCAGTTCATGATAGGCAGTTCAGGTCACATGGTGACTTGATGACCCATAGTCAAATGTTCAGTTTTCACCAAAGCCCAATAACAGGCCAAGAGGTGTCTCTCAAAAGGAGAGCAGTTATCTGCAGAAGACGGCAGGGTCTTGCACCAAAATTCTAGAGTTCTCTGCTGTGATTCACCTATGGGGGACTGCCAAAGGCTCCAAACAGCATCTCTGTCTGCCACTGACACCCCAAGCACCATTGGATCTGCTGGGTCATATGGCCCAAGTGGCAGAGCAGCTTACACAGCAGCCTGGACCTATTGCAGAGCCTTCTCCTGTTCTGGACCCCACTCAAAACTGGCCACCTTTCAGGTCACTCAATAAATGGGCCAGAGTAACACACCCAAATGAATGTGTTACCTCCAAAATCCAAACAGGCCCACTGGGCATTGTGCCTCTTTCTTGGTTGGAGGAGGGGTCAAATGTAGCAACTTATCTTTCACTTCAGAAGGACTATCTTGAAAGGCCCCACACCACTGGACCCCTAGAAATTCTGCTAAGGTGGAAGTTTTCTGAATTTTAGTCGTATTTATTTCCCATCCTCTGGCATGCAAATGTGTCACCAATAAGTCCAGTGTATTTGCTACTTCTTGCTCACTGGATCCAATCAGCATAATGTCATCAGTATAATGGAGCAGTGTGAGATCTTGCGGAAGCGAAAAGCGATCAAGGTCTCTCTGAATAAGATTATGACACAAAGTCGGAGAGTTGATATACTCTGAGGCAGGACAGTAATGGTATATTGCTGGCCTTGCTAGCTGAAGGTAAATTGCTTCTGGTGGGCCTTATGGACAGGAATGGAGAAAAAGGCATTCGCCAAGTCAGTGGCTGCATACCGGTACTAGGAGATGTGTTCATTGGCTCAATTGGCTCAAGCAGTGAAACCACATCTGGTACAGCAGCTGCAATTGGAGTCAACACTTTGTTAAGCTTACAATAATTCACTGTCATTCTCCAAGATCCATTTGTCTTCTGCACAGGCCAAATGGGAGAGTTTAACAGGGATGTGGTGGGAATCACCACCCCTGTGTCTTTCGAGTCCTTGATGGTAGCATTAATCTCCACAATCCCTCCAGGGATGCAATATTATTTTTGATTTACTATTTCTCTAGGTAGAGGCAGCTCTAATGGCTTCCATTTTGCCTTTCCCTCCATAATAGCCCTCACCCTACCAGTCAGGGAGCCAATATGGGGGTTCTGCCAGCTGCTAAATTTGTCTATGCCAATTATGTGCTCTGGCACTGGGGAAATGACCACAGGATGAGTCTGGGGATCCACTGGACCCACTGTAAGTTGGACCTGAGCTAAAACTCCTTAATTGCCTGACCTCCATAAGCCCCTACTTTAACCGGAGGACTATAATGATGTTTTGGGTTCCCTGGAATCAACCCCAGCTCAAAGCCAGTGTCTAGTAGTCCCCAAAATGTCTGATCATTTACCTTTCCCCATTACACAGTTACCTTGGTAAAAGGCCAGAGGTCTCCTTAGGGAAGGATGGGAGAAAGATTCACTGCATAGTGAGCTGAGATTGTGCCACTGCACTCCAGCCTGGACGGCAAAGCAAGACTCCCTATCAAAAAAAGATTCACTACATAAGTTGTCGGTAATGTAGTGGGGTCCTTCCTCAAGAAGACCTGGCCTCCCCTTTATTCAAGGGGTTCTGGGTTTGTAAACTGGCTCACGTCTCTGGAAATTGATTGAGACGTGAGCCATGATGTTTTATCACTTGAATCATGATAAAAACATGATTCTCTGTTTTTATAATTCAAGTTAGTCTTGTCCATTCAACCTAGAAGTTTTCTGCTTATAAAAATTAGGTAGGAATGTAGTAGGCTTCCTATCAATTTCAATTCCAGGAGCACTGTAATTAATTAGCCAATGCCAGAGCCCTACAGTAGTCAGTCTGTTCTGATTTCTGCTTTGCCTCTTCTGTCCATTATGGTAGCTATGCCCACCTTGCCTTTGATGGTTG